GGGAGCTGAGTGTAAAAGCGAAGCTCTCAATTTACCGGTCGATCTACGTCCCTACCCTCACCTATGGCCACGAGCTGTGGGTAGTGACCGAAAGAACGAGATCGCGGATACAAGCGGCGGAAATGAGCTTCCTCCGAAGGGTGGCTGGCCTCTCCCTTAGAGATAGGGTGAGAAGTTCGGCCATCCGGGAGGGGCTCAGAGTAGAGCAGCTGCTGCTCCACATCGAAAGGAGCCAGCTGAGGTGGTTCGGGCATCTGGCAAGGATGCCCCCTGGGCGCCTCCTGGGCGAGGTGTTCCAGGCATGTCCCACCGGGAGGAGGCCCCGGGGCAGACCCAGGACACGCTGGAGAGATTATATCTCTCGGCTGGCCTGGGAACGCCTTGGTATTCCCCCGGACAAGCTGGAGGAGGTGGCTGGGGAGAGGGAGGTCTGGACCTCTTTGCTTAGGCTGCTACCCCCGCGACCCGACCTCGGATAAGCGGATGAAGATGGATGGATGGATGGTGAACTGTAAAATCCATTCATGAAATACAGTACAGTAAAAGAAATGTCATTAGGCACTCAACAAATTTGCAACCTCTAAATACATTATACATAATAATAATATTACACTTATACTTCCTCATCCTGGAAACATGATTAAACCTTGCAAGTCATATCTATGCTGCTTTTAAATGATCAAAGTCCCCAAAACAAAGCATATCCCTCCAGAGCTATGACCTACCCTACGACCTACCAGCCAATGATTTCTGCAAATGCACATAATCTGCTAAAGAATTGCTTGAAGAGCATTAGAAAGGACCAAAGGCATTGATGGAGCCTCCAAACCTCCATATTCTGTTTTTGAGGATCTGCAGGATCAACACAAGATCCATAGAGACCAACAAACCAGCACCACACACCACAGGACACCTCAGATGGTCTCATTTCCATGCTGTTTTGGAGGCAAAAAGCTGAGTTCATAAATAAAAATCTGTTTATAAAGTTTAGGGTGCTTATATAGAGACTGTAAAGGGTACGATTAAACAGATAATCAGTATTAACATGATAATTAGTACTAACGCGTCCATACAAAAGGCTTCTTTAAAAAGGCTAAAAAATGCTGCCACCATTTTTTAAAACATGTGTCTTTAAGTAAATAAGTATATCAAAGGGAATATACAGTGTAAACCTTTGTCATTTGCCTAATTTGTGTCCAGTTGTACACCAAGCATAAGTCTGAGCACAGCTCATATCTGTGTTTGGCACTGAATGTTCTAAATAATCCACCTTACACTATAACCTGCCATTCAGACAAAATGCAACTTGATGGTAGCATGCATTTACCCAATTGTGTGATTTTTATTTATTATTTATTTTTTCACCGTTTCTTTGCATATGCTTTGGGTGAATTTGTTTGAACTTCAAAACTGTTAAAACATTGCGGTGTCTTAATGGACTGACTAATGGTTTGCTCGATACCTTCCAAATAAGTGATCGTAATGTGTCTGAAATGTAAAAACAAATCCATGGTTGTGTAAGTAATGAGCAATGACCCTGAAGCAAATTCCAAACACTGCGATTTGAGGGTCAAAGGGGAACATGTCCCACCCTTTCTTAACCGAAGATAATATTTCCAGTTACATCTCAGAACTCATCGGTCGCTTTGAAAAGGTTGAGCACCCGTTTTAGCTACATTTGAAGTTGTTAACCAGAGCAAAGCTTACAACAAATTGATGAGATCATAGTAATGATTAATAAATCGATAAAATGACATAAGATCCCAATTTAGCAGTTTGAAAGGTTTGCACAGATATTTCTTTTATTATCAAACACCCTTGAAACTTTATGATGTGATATTTTAGTCATTTGTACTGTTGGCATTCTGTTGTGAAACATGTCATTGTTAGCATGCAACACAAAGTAATATGTTAATTACAGTTTTGTAATGAAAGCAATAAAAAGGCCAAATATGGTCTGAGAAGATTCTGTTGTCATTCCTAATCACACCAGAATGTCGGACAAGTTCGGGCAGTTCACACAGCTCGCTGCCAAAAGGAAATGGCAAACAACTGTTAAGAAAAATATTTGCCTCCGGAGACAGGTGTATGCAAAGAATTTAGACTGAGCCGCTTAAAATGTTTAAAGTTTAAAGTGAGAAAGGGTAAATGCAACCAAATAAACAATAAAAATGTCCCTTTGTTTGTTTAACCTCCTAGGACCTGGCGTCCACATATGTGGAAATCACATTTTTGGTTGTCTAGACCGAAATACAAAATTTTGCTCGACAAGGGCCTGATATCCACTTACGAGGACATTATACTGCCTCTGTTTTATCAAAATTTAAAACAAATGTCCTCATATGTGGCTCTCATCAGGTTAAAGAAAAAAAAATCTGCTGATTCTTTGTTTTTACATACATTGGGTCTCAATATGCACAAATATAAAAAAATAAATAAAAATGCATGCCATGGAAGAGTTCGGGTCTTAGGAGGTTAAAGGTTAAGTTTCGTTTTTATTTTGAAAAGTTAACATAAAAAATCACCTGCAGTTTAACCTGTCGATGACCTGCTGAGGGAACGTCACATTGAATGGAATATTATGCTGAGAACAGTTTTTCCTGTACTGAAGGCTTCACTCCAAATCATGTAGATGTTTTATTGGCATAAAAGTCTGTGCAGACTGAGATCTAGTGAGTGTGATGCCATTTCAGTATAGGGAAGTGTCGTGTTACAAAAAAAACCAAAACAAAAAAACAGTTTAAGATGATAAGGGTTTAATGGACTGGTTCTTGTATGGAGCTTTTCTACTCTACTACGCACTATATACTACGACATCCCTCATTCAAACAATCAGTTTTTATTTGCTTTCTAGTTCATTCGCACACATTCACACTCCCATGATGGACCGCAACTTGGAGTTGAGCATCTTTTTCAAGGATACTTTGGCATGACTGTCAGCCAGGGATTGAAGCACCAACTTTTTGGTTAGTAGATGACCTGGTTAATCTCCTGAGATGATCTGAGTTTTGTGAGATGGCACGTTATCCTGGTGAAAGCAGCGATCAGAAGATGGGGACACTATGGTCATAAAAGGATAGATATGGTCTCAACAATACTCAGGTAGGCCTCAGTTGGTACTAAGGAAATACACCCACACCATTACACCACCACCACCACCAGCAGCAGCCTGAACCACTTATACAGGCAGGATGGATCCATGCTGTCACGTTGTTACATTGAATTCTGACCATGCCTTTTGAATGTTGCAGCAGAAATCGAGACTCATCGAGGAGTTGAACAGGTATACCTAATGAAGTTGGGTGTGAGCGTATTAATTTTTCTACTGCAAAGGTCAAACTTCAACTGAGAATTACTATATGCTGAGCAAGAGAAGCCTTACTGGAAATAACTTCTAGGAACCTCTCCCTTTCCCTTTTACGGAGGACTGGATGTACTTCTTGACTCTGAAATTTAGCCTTGCACATACAGTTACAGTCAAGTTCTGCTACTCGAGTAACATCACTAGACTTCTTGGACCCAAATTGTGGTTACTGGTCGTACTGCAGCAGCTGTGCATTTCCACTACAGCACTCGACAGCTAAGCATCTATATTTAGCCGAATGTTAGTAGAGGGGAGCTCATACTTGAACAGCCTTGAATGGGCAAGAAGACTCACCACGGTAACAGCACCATGGTACCAACAGAGGCTGTTGCAACTGAAAAGCACTGAGAACTAATTAAAGGAAAGAGGCTTGGAAGCTTGTTTTTCAAGAACAATGCACCACACACACACAGACATACTAAGCAGATCTTTTTTCTTATGTAGCAACGTGCTGATAAAGCTTTAGCCTTTTATTGGTTGTCGACTTAAGCATGCTGCAAGTGGAATACAGTCATAGTGAGAAGGGCAGAGGCAGGTCAGCTGTTTAGTTGAGGTCACTGGCATTCACTGTCAGGATTAGATGACAGCTGATACAATATCTGTAAGTGTTTGCTGTTGCTCTACTGTACTTTTGCAGAAAACTGGACTTCCTCCTCCAACTTTTCTGCACAAGATGTTCGCCTTAATTTAGCTTTAAACTGTTAACAAAGGGCGAAATAAAATGTGAACTTGCAAACCACAAGGGAACTCAAGAGTGCTTTGTTTTTTAGTTACACATTTATAGATGAAGCTTTTATAACACATTTGTTTTTAAAACGAAAATGCATCGTCAGCTAGCAGTTCGTTTTTTTTTGTCACAGTATGTATTACATGATTTGGCTGTTTAGAAAGACAGGTTATCTTCACAGTATCTTATACCGACAAAGTACAGTTACAAAGGTACAGCAGATAACAAGGTAACTGTGAATCAAACTGAGTCATTGTCAGTTCCAAAGTTGTGCAATTGTGTTTTTGGGGGTGGCTGGAAGTTCTTTCGAAGTGTTATGACGTTGAGATTAAGTAACCCAGCCTCAATTCTCTGATCTGTTGTATAACATCTGTCTCCGAGACTGCTCCATTTGGTTGAGAAAAGTTCCCAAGCCAAATGCTAAACCTCAAATGCTGATCTCATTACAAATTTCAAGATGTGTTTTATTATAGTATACGATGGTATAAAGTTGGATTTCTATTTAGTTACAAGAACATCAAAAGCAAGAAAAAAAGAAGAGAAATTCAGACGCATGGTCAGGTGATGTGGCTTGAGGGTCTCGCTGTAATGATTTAGCCAGCAAAGTAAACAGAACTCTAAACTCCCCAAACATTGAGGGGTCAGATATTGGATGCTAGGTTTGACAATAGTGCTCTTGTTGACAATATTTCAGTTCAAGTGTTTAGTACTTCAGTAAATAAATCAAGACAAACAATGTGATGTAGGCCCTGATAGTAGAGAAGCTGAATGGCTGACTGATTTTGACATTGGGTCAGTATGTTTGTTAGTGGAGTGTATGAACATCTACTGTATGTAAAAAATAAAGACAATACAAACTTGCACATTCTTGCAAATAGAAACTGTATGTCTATGGTTTCTGGATTTTTCTTAATTTGTCTTTTTTTTTTTTTTTTTTAAATAATACAGCAGTGGATGGGAAAAGAGTCTAACCAGTGCTTTTTACCACAATGGCTAACCAATTGGTGCTTTGCTAAACTGCATATTTCACCCCTTAAAAGCTTTTCACAGGCAGAATTAACGTACGGAAGAAAAGGTTTTGAGTTACATAATTTTTTAATGATAAGCTACACTAAGGGTCGGGTATTGAATTGTGAGCTGTGATTGGGCCATTTCAGCCAACTGGAAATCTGTGTAACTTTAGATAATCTGCTGAGCAGCAGAGTAGCTACCCTGGGAATGTGTCTCCCTCCTCTTCAGTCACATGCTGCTTAAGAAATGAAAGCAAGCTGGAGGAGGGCGTTGACGGCCTGAAGGGGAGTGTTTCGGTTCAGCCAATCAATTTGCACAGCCCACTCCTCCTTGACAAGGCTTTGTGTAATATTTGGCCCGCCCTGTGATCAGAGGATGAAGTTTGCATATCTTCATACGTCAATAAAAACAATGTAGTAATCTCCCACTATGGCGTGGCTCAACAGTTTATCTGTCTAAATGTCAAGTCAGTTTTGTATTTTTCCATAGCCAGGGAAGTGGAGCTTCCTATTTTCATTTTCGAGTTTGATAGGAGACAGACATTTTAACATGTGCATGCTATCGGCCTTTTAGGGGGACGGACCTTTTTTTCCTCATTTTTTCTTGAATAACTGATAGACATCCGTTTTAAAATGAATCCTGTCGTAGCTGTCAGGTAGGGTCTTACGAATCATAGGAATTTGACTTGAGGCATTTTCACAATACATCACTAGCGAGTTCCAGCTTGCTTGGTTAAGTCAAAGTAGAAAAACAAATCATAAACTACTGCTCCAGGTAAAAAGGTGGGGAAAGAAATAACATAATAGTGGGAAAAAAGTTATACAAAAATCACAATTGCTTAAATAATATGAGAACAGGTACAACTTCACACAAACTAATCACTCCTTTTGGTCACAAGATGAACATCTGCTTTGTCACAGAAAACTCAAGTTCATATTTTAGAGCTCTGCATAGCAAAATATAAAACTGCCACTTGAAATCTGAACTCGACAAATTAAGAGTTTTTCCTCTGTATAGGAGGCTATATATTGTTGGACAAGCAGCCCCAATGAGATGAGATTTCTGACAAAGCAGAGGACCGAAGCTCTGACTGAGGTGCACAAAGATCCTGAAATGGATACAAACCTAAGGTGCTACTCCATGTACAGCAACTTGCCACCTAATTCTTCATAGCCCCTCAGAGGGGGAAATATTAGAACAATTCAAAGTGCCCTTTTTATGGAAACTAAACTGTTTAGTAGGTCTCTGTAGAAAAATGCATTCTTTATACAGAAGTACAGAGTAAAACCTGATTTAAACAGAAGGAAAACTACAGCAGAGGTCTGTGTGGTTATATGACTGATGCTGCCACCTGCTGAAAATGTGATGTGAAACATTTGTCAAATCAAAGTGATGCCGTATTTTTCTATGTTCCAGTATTATATTCATGTTTAAAATCAGAATCTGTCATATAAGATGATAAGAAAAAAAAAAGTGGTGCTCAGCACCATAAAACTGGACAGCAATGCATGGCTTTTATACATTTTATATGTAAAGTGTCATTCTCAAAAAGATATTACAGTATCAAAAATAAGCCTCTCAACAATCCAAAATAAATCAGAGCACTGAAACCTACAGAACAGTTACCAACCCAACATCTACTAAACTCGGACTTCAAAACTAATTTCCCTCATTTCTTAAACACAGGATTGCTGACAGACCGATGATCAGCTTAAAACACTTCGCACAAAGAGTTCAAATCTTAATTTAACAAAACAGAATCTTTGTAAACACAAGAATCACAGGACATGGAGGACAACACTTTTAGGACTCTGTGCTGAAGAGTACCTGCTCTTTCTAAATGCAACTATTAAAAAAAAGTAACAATTTTAAAAATGTCCAGTCAACTTAAATGTGTCCTCAATATGTGAATCAGAGAATAACACAACTGTCCAAGGTCAAGAATTGCAATTAAACCTGAAAACAACTCCCAGCCATAAACTGTGCTCTTCCTTCTTGCGAAAAAAAAGGCCTGAATACAAGTCTCCATGTTAGATCTCTGCTGACAGTCACTCTAAATGATCCTTCTTATACCCTTAATGCACAAGAGTGCTCTGGAGGAGTGCAGAACTGCAAACGAAGCATTACTCCTCTTTGTGTGGAGCTCCTTTATGGTCGTAATCTGTTGATTGCTCAGCGTTTGTCTCGTCTTTTATCAATTTCCTTTCGAATTCGAACCTTCAGAGCTGCCCTCATGGCTGCATCCAGGATGTTCTTCTCTGCAACACGTTCTACCACCTTCTCAGGCTTGTCTTCCTTCAGAAACAGAGGGCATTTAAAGGAATTACACACAGGAAATGACTAAAGAGCTGAAAACACCATAAAAAGAAATCGGCATTAACCTTGTGCACAAGGATGGATGTAATGGTACCAGAATCTGCTTCATATTCAAGCCAAAAGAGTTCAGTCCCACTGGCGTCAGTCTCTGTGCTTGATCCACTCTCGTTTTCTTCAGCATCAGCACCGGCCCCTGGCTCTGAACCATCTGAACAATGAGCGCACACACACACACACACACACACACACACACACACACACACACATTATCTTCCCGATAATGGGTGCACAATCAGCACAAAAGTCAAGAGAAAGCACATCAGTCTTACGTCTTCTTCGAGGATGGTACACTTGCATGTCAGGTCGACGGGGTCTTCGAGGGGTTGTGGTGTGTCTCCGCCGCTGAAGCTCTTTGGCTTGCTTCACTTCTTTATCATAGTCATCTCTGGAGGAAGGGAATCAAAATTTTGTTAATGCAGAAAATATGACAACTTGGTTGTTCCATGGCATATGAATAAATAAATAATAAAAATAAAACCTAAATCAAGAACATGTAATAAACAATTTGTTCATTCAAAAAGAAAGAAAAGAAAAGATTAAGCCTCAGAAATATTTTTAACTCTTCCCTGTGATGCTCTCATTTTCATCTTACAGTTAATTTTACCTGGCTTTTTTTTTTAATTACATGAAATTAATGCTAAAACAGCAGAATGAAACAACCGCATTTAATAATAACCTGTCATGTGGACTACTATCAAAGTCACAGATTGCAGAATTCTCCATTTATTCAAACCCAAGCATTAATGGAGTAACACTGTTTTTTTAATTGTGATTTTTGACTTGACTAACCACTGTATACAGAGGTCACTTTTTAAATAAAATTGAAAGACACTGACAGCAAAATGCCCCTTTTTACAAGTCAGCCAGTCTTCAGCCAGTATTGAGAAGCTTAAATACAGGCTTGCAATGTAATTTGGGGATTTTCCTTGAACAGTCTTTTTGTGTGTGAAATGATTCATGGACATGATATCCATGCCTACATATGCATGTATGTAAATTTCTAACAGTTTGTTGTATAGTTCAGAAAATGCATTATGAAAGTAGGTCGTTCCTATGTAAATTTGGCACAAAAAGTAAGGTCCATTATTTCTTTCTTGTAACAATCCACCTTGCAAATAAATCTCATACTGTTGGAAGCCTTTTTCTTTGCCCTTCAGTAGTCCCACATTTCTAAGGAAAATGCATTTTTCCTAACATATGCATTGAATGATCAGCAGAGGTGAGTATGGGGGTTTTGCCATGAAAAACCTGCTAAATCTTCTCAATACCAAACAGCTTATTCTGCTATTGACTCTTGTTTGGTGTTGTCTACTGAACTAGATGATTTAGGTCTTAAATTTTTTTTTTTTAGCAATTTTTTAATCCAAGAAATATGGGGCTATGCATGCAGCAGTAACCATACGCAGCCTCAACAGCTTGGCATCTTCTGCGCTGGTCACCGGTTTGGTCCACATCCAAGCTGATCACATAACTGTTCAACAGGGTCAGGACTTCAGGTAGGACATTCCATCCTCTTCACTCCCAAAGACCGGAGCTGAGGTGGTCCGCTCTGTTGTGGTGACCACCATTTGCAGAATCTCATCTCAATGTCTCTTGCCTTGAGATTGGCTCAAATTTTGGCAAGCCTCGTTTTTCCACCAAAGGAGATGCTGCCCCACGTTATAACACTACCTCCACCAAAAGCTGCTACCCTATCAGTGCAGCAATCATCACAGTGTCCCAGTGCACATGTTGCCAACAGCAGCGCAAATTTGCCTGATGGTGAACAGCAGTCATGGCAAGCCTCCTGGCAGTCATACTGTTCTGCAAACCTTGACTGAAAATCTACTGAAGTCTGACTTCTGTTCCAAAGTGCTGACAGGGTGAAGAAACAGTCTTCTTATTGTGTCGTCTTCTTGGGATTCCCATTTCGTCGCCTGTCTGACATCCTGCGTCAAATAGAACTTGGCCTTTAATTTGGATAAGGTACTTGAAGTTGCCCTATTGGCACGTACCCTGTAAGGTCCACGATAACAGGTGGTGCTAATCCGGCAACAACCAGACACCTGACTGTCTGTATCCGGGATACTAGAATCTCAAAACAAGAGTCAGTAGCAGAAAAAAACTGTTTAGGATTCACAGAGAAGATTTGCCAGGTTTTTTCATGGACACATCCCACAAGTGGCACAATTTAAGAGGACATAAACAGACTTTACAGTCCAATATCACTTATTTTCAAAAGCCAAATACAGATTTTCCTTACCTTTTGTGCCAAGTTTACTTGCTATACTGAAATGCATTTCAAAGAAACCTACAAACAAAAACATTATAGAAGTGAAGTGATGTGTTTAATTGCTTTCCTAGTATTTTTTGGTGTCTGTCGTGTTTTCTGTCAAAAACAAGTTAAAAATGACCCCCCTTTTCACAGATGCACGCACTGATTGAACTCAGTTTTTTTCAGTATGCAGTTGTTCATCATTTTGCTTCTCAGCATCTTAAATCAAAACGAACTGGTCACCAGGCCTCTGCGACCTCCCCATATATTTTAGCTCCGAATGTAAAAGCGTGTGTGTTAATAACAAGATAACATTCACTTAATCATAAAATTACTTTTCACTACTAATAACAACGATTATGTTTTTAGCTGAATGACCTATTGCACTAGCATACGCTAATAGCAGCTGAGGAACTCGCCTAGCAATCTGGTTCCTCCGGATATGGTGCAGGAAGCCGTGGCTCATATCCAAGCGGCCACCTGGTTTGTATTTCAGCTCGTGGACCCCCTCTTCTCTTAAAACATCCATTTCAGCAAACCGCTTCCAAACAAAGTCAGTATTTAAGCACTACTGATTGCAACAAGTCCCAATCAGAGCACTGTGAACGGTCAAAAAGCTATATAGCTACGGCTAACTAACGATAACATGTTGTCCAATTATAATGCTCCCTGAGTTAATAAAAATGTTATAACTAAATTGCACACCATAAACAAATACCCATACATGACAAACCTTTATATATATATTATATATATATATATAAGACAAACAAAGGTCCAGTTAGAGTTTAGAAGTTAGGCAAGTTATTATATTAGTTTTTGGTAAGTGATTAACAGCGTGTATAGCGTTAGTAGGTTTTTAAACTCCGGGTTAGGTTTTAGTTTGCTGCTCCACGGCTACAACGCACAATCGCCGCGAGTTTCGAGGCGCACCGTGTTTGACCCATTCATCACTCCCTCCAAATAACGTAAAGTTTTAGCTTCTCCATTGTTTTGACGCCGTCTCTCTGCTGCTATGGTTTCTTTGAAGCGTGAAAAAGAGGTGGATTTAGATGATGATGACAATGAAGACGGAGGTAAGTATATTCCTCAAACGTATGCCCTGCGTTTGGTTAGCAGTTAGCGTTGTTGTTAGCCAGTGGTGTGTTCGTTTTTTTTTTACTGGCCTGTCCAGTAACGTATAGACGGATCAATAAGTGTCTCCACTGTGTGCTAAAAACAACGATACCCATCATCTTAAAGCACCCAGTGTTTGAAAACAAGCATACCTCACAACATTAAAGCTAAGCTAGTTAGCATGTTTAGCTCATTGCTTTGAAATGTTGGTACATGGTTTGGCTTGACATTTGTTCTTCTTGGGCCACTTCACGTTGCAGTGGCAGCCAAAGTGGGACGAGGACATGCAGTAGAAGACCGAAGAAGCCGCCACTGTCCTTACCTTGACACCATAAACAGGTAGGCCGGAGTAGACTGTGTATTGCTATTAAAGCTGTATTCCACCTCTGCAGGTGAATTCACGTCTGTCAATCCTGCAGGAGTGTGCTGGACTTCGACTTTGAGAAACTCTGCTCCATCTCTCTCTCCCACATCAATGTCTACGCCTGCCTTATATGTGGGAAATACTTTCAAGGTAGGCAAATTGACATTTTAACTGGGGATCAGAGACCCTGTTGTATTTGTACTGATTTGTGTGGGTTTTGTTTTGTTTTTTGTAGGAAGAGGTCTGAAGTCTCACGCGTACACTCACAGCGTACAGTTTACCCATCATGTGTTCCTCAATCTGCATACACTCAAGTTTTACTGTCTGCCAGATAACTATGAGATCATTGATTCATCACTAGAAGATATCACAGTAAGTAAAGTAATGCTTTTCATACTAAAACTAAAATTCATGTAATCTCACTGGCCACTTTATAGGGTACACCTTATTACTACAGGTTTGGACCCCTTTTACCTTCAGAGCTTGCTTATTAATTCTTCATGGCAGAAATTCAACAAGGTGATTGAAAATTCCTCAGAGAAATTGGTCCATTTTGACATGATAGTGTCAGACAGTTGCTGCAGATTTGTCAGCTGCACATCCATGATGTGTGGCTCCTGTTTCATCACATCCCATTGCTTTGAAATCTGGTGACTGGAGGCAATTTGAGCATTTAAACTCACTGGACCGTATTCACTTATCTCTGTGACCAGGATAGACAGCATTAGCTACACCAGAGGGACAGCTCAGGTTGAGCAGTTTAGAGGCAAAGTTAGAGACAAGTCTGAGGGAGGTTTGGACATGTGCAGAGGAGGGATAAGGCATATACTGGGCTGTAATGAGAAGAGGTGAAATTGAGGCAGATGATCCGCTGTGATGCCACCTAATAGGAGCAGCCGAAAGAAGAAAAAGAATCTACAGTGTAAATGTATATCTATGCTAAAGGTTAAATTACATTCAAAATATTTTGACTTTAGTGACTTTTTTTTAAGCTGAATTGAGTGAATAAATATCTTCCAGTCTGAATTGTGACTGGATTGACTGAAGAAGCACCAGTGTTTTCAGTCTGATATGATACTAACCATGTTCTGTTTGATTTTGTCATTATTTCTGAGCTCTGGCTTTGGAAGAGTTACCACAAACAGCTGATTTGCTTACATTTCTTCTCTCTACAGTACGTGCTGAAGCCAACTTTCACCAAGCAGCACATTGCGGGGCTGGACAAGCAGGGTAAACTGTACAGAGCCTATGACGGTACCACCTACTTACCGGGCATTGTAGGGCTCAACAACATCAAAGCCAATGACTATGCCAATGTGGTGTTACAGGTATGGATATCTACCACTCTAGATTTTATTAATTGTTGTACATTTTTTGAATAATGTCCTCCCTTCTCATTTGTGTCTCTCTTTTCAAGGCTTTTTCTAATGTTCCACCTTTGCGAAATTACTTCCTGGAGGAGGAAAACTACAGAGGAATCCGCAGGCCCCCGGGAGACATCATGTTTCTCTTGGTGCAGAGGTTTGGTGAGCTGATGCGCAAACTTTGGAATCCAAGAAACTTTAAGGCCCATGTGTCGCCCCACGAGATGTTGCAGGCTGTAGTGTTGTGCAGCAAGAAGAACTTCCAGATTACAAAGCAAGGTATTGCTTTACATTCACTAAGTTGTACTTTCTGGGCTTAGGTAGGCTTTCAATACAGGTTTTGGTGCTAATTGATTGTTTTCTGTTCTGCAGGCGATGCTGTGGACTTCATGACGTGGTTCTTAAATGCCCTGCATGGTGCTCTCGGAGGCACAAAGAAGAAGCCATGTAAGTGGGGAAAAAAAGTGGATTTGACTCTTAAGTTTGGTTCTAATGCAGTAGTGCATCTTTAGCCTTCTGTTGTGATATTAAAAGCATCTTAAGGACTTTAAGGGTTAATTCAATTTGTATTTTTTTGATTCTCGAACCTTGGGTTTCATACAGAATCTGCAGTCTCTGCACAAAATCATATTGTGACTCTGCAGTGTGATGGACAAGCTCCGTGGACTATGACGTTTGCAGATGACATTGTGACCTGTAGTGAGAATGTAGAGCAGGTGGAAGAGATCACTTCGATGGTTCACCTCATTATGAGGCCACTAAACCTCCCTTTTCTCGTCCTTCTCCCCTCATAGCAATCATTACAAAAGCATTTCAAGGCTGCATGCGGATCTTCTCCAAAAAACTCCCACACCCAGATTTGGTGAGTTTCTTGCTTGTGTTATAAGATAATTGTTTAACATATGGACCTGAATAAGTTTAGTAATAGAAAAACTTGACTTTATTTGTTACTTATTCAAATTCTTTTAAAGTTCTGCACTCTTTAAGATTCAGTTCTTCTAAGAGTCCAATAGCATTTTACTATGTATTCTGTGAAAGTATATAACTCAATTCCTGTGAATTGAGTTGTTTATGTTTTGATGACTTTGATTTTTAAAATCTTACAGCCGCCAGAGGAAAAAGAGGCTCTGCTTACAACAGATGAGTATCAGGAGCAGATGTCTGAGTCTTCCTTTCTGTTTCTGACCCTTGACCTCCCAACTGCTCCACTGTACAAGGATGAAAAAGAGCAGCTTATAATCCCTCAGGTCCCTCTCTTTAACATCCTGGCCAAGTTCAATGGCAGCACAGAGAAGGTACCGATTCATTTTAATCCTACTGGCTTTGATAATCACTCTCACAAAGTAAAAGAGCTTGCAAATACTGCCATGTCAATATCGCATTGGAGTGATCTGTACTACTGATGGCTGTGCAGTAATATAAAGTAGAAAGTGCAAAATTGCACTAAAGGTGTCAACACTAGGTGACAGTGTTTTATCAGAAACGGTTAATGTAGCTGACACAACTACAGCCTATATCGTCCTCTCTCCTCCACTGTGCTTGCACCGATGTGGAGAACAGCTGCGCACCTCTTGAGTTTGTGCCACACACTTAGTGTCAGAATGAAGGAAGTGCGCTGCGTATATCAAGCGCAGCATTATGCCCTCTAACATCCATGACGTAGCTACTGGGTTTAACAACTTTTATTGCAGAAAACCTGCAGTGATACAAAAGTTTGCATTGAAACTTAGGTTTTTACAGTCTATAAGCATTATTAGCTTTTCCGTTAATATCCACGAACTGGATATGTGGTGCAAAGCTTAGACGTGTTTGTCTTGTTTTGCTCCTGGTTATTATTGCTTTGGTTCTTTGCAACCAAGCGTGATTTCTGTCTAGCATCATGAGAAGTTTCACCTTTCAGGCTGTTCTCTAGAATCCCTTTCCTTCCACGTCTGCCTCTACATCGACATTTCTCCTCAGGGCAGTCCTCGATGCTACAGCTAATGGCCATTCAGTCATGTGGTACAAATTGGTGTTGCATAAAAGTCCACTTAATTTGATTCAAAACAATCTCTTCCTCCAAAAAAAGAAAGAAAAATCTGTTGATAACATTAATTTTGAAAGGGTGTAATCTATTTTAATTGAAATTAGAGCATTTAAAGCTTAGTGTTACTTAGATGTGAGTTCTATTAATAATTGAACACTGAGAACAAATCTGTGTATTTTCCCTTAATTATAGGAATACAAAACCTACAAAGAGAATTTTCTCAAAAGGTTCCAGTTGACCAAACTGCCTCCGTACCTCATCTTTTGCATCAAAAGATTCACCAAGAACAACTTCTTTGTGGAAAAGAACCCCACAATTGTCAACTTCCCTATAACGTAAGTGCCATTCATGTATTCAAAATGTAGCCTTGATCAAAGACATTATACTTACTGCGTGTTGTATCTCTTGTGTGTTCATTGTGTCTTCGGTTTAAATGACGGTATGTCGTCCCTTTGTGTAATTCAACAGAAATGTAGACCTTCGTGAATACTTGACAGAAGAAGCTCAAGCCACCGAGAAGAACACGACGTATGACCTCATTGCAAATGTAGTGCATGATGGGAAACCCACTGAGGGAGCGTACAGAATACATGTTCTGCATCATGTAAGCATCTAGAACTTTTTGGTACTGCTAATAGAATTAACCGAGCAAGTTAATGCTTTTAGCCAAATTGATTTTGTAAACTGTGACTTGTCTTAAACGGCATCCGTTTGTCTTTGTGTTTAATCAGGGAACTGGAAAGTGGTACGAGATGCAGGACCTGCAGGTGACTGACATCCTCCCTCAGATGATCACACTTTCAGAGGCTTACATCCAGGCAAGTCGACCACTCAGTTTTATGTGCAACATCCACAGTTTGAAGCAGACCATTGCATCTTCGGATTGTGATATTGACGACATGCGTTAATTGTTTAACAAGGAGTCCTTGTAGTTGACAGTGTGCTTTCTCCCCCCCCTCTCAGATCTGGAAGAGGCAAGAAAGCAATGATGGAAGAAACAACCACATGGGGATTTAAAGTATTCCTCAGTGTGTGAATGACCAGAGGCTTTGTGATTGTCCTGGACATGAACTGGGTATTTATCTGTTTTAAAACAACAGAATGTTGAATGAGAGTGGCAAGAGAGCATCAGGGCATCCTTTACAACCACATGAAGCAAATGTCTGCTTGGTTTTTTTTTTCTTTTTTTCCCCACAGTTTTATCTTTTTACTACTTGGAAGTTTCTAAATAAACCAGGTCCAGTACACATGTCTGTCTGCAGGTTACATTTTTTTACACCACACCTTTGATATAATTTAATATAATTTAACAAAAAATAATTTCCCCCAGGGATCAATAAAGTATTCTGATTCTGATAATACCATTTTTATTCATATGTGGTCATTTGCAACAGCAGTCAAGGCAAGATCAAATAATGTTACAGAAGCAGCAGCTGTGTCGATCAGTCAGTAGTTTCCATTATATTCTTAGAGCTCAGCGTGTGGCTTGCAGATTTTCACATTGATAATAACAGCTATTGTAATACACAGAATAAGACTTACTGTTCAGCCTTAAACTAATGTTTCAGAATGAACCCCAGCCTCAGTGGGACACTTCATGCAAACTGGAAACTTCATGTGTAACATTCATAAGGCTTATTGACTGGAATATGGAAAATTTACCCATAAAACAGCAACAATAACAAAAATGTAAAAAACAAACAATCAGTGCATCACAGGTAGAAAACATTTAACAGTTGATCAGTTTAATAAAAAGTAGGTCACTGTGTGCACAAGGCTGCAGTCAGTCTGGCAGGCTTCACTCATTCTTCTTCCACATGTATTTCTCACAGTAGGCTTGATTCTGCAGATTGAAAACACAAAGATCTGAAACAAACATAGCGTCTCACAGAGTAGCAGTCTTCTCTGTGTATGTCAGAGGACAGGAGAAGACATAATTAAAAGACACATTCAATTAACTGGTGATTTTAACATTTAACCTGGGGTAGACCCCAACCTGACCAGTCTCAGTGGATGGAAATTGCTTGTATTCTGATCAGAGAGGACATTATGTTACATGTTTGCCACAACTAAAACTCAGGGCAGACTGAGCTGTCTTTCCATACAGATCCTGATATTTATATAAGGAGTATTACTGATGCAATCAATAAACATAAAAAACTCATCAATTGGCTAAATTATTAGAAAAGAGAGATTGGAAGACTCTTTAACAGATAGCAAGGGTTTATCAAATACACAGAAGAGTAAGAGCTGGGTCCAGCTGGCGATCTGAAGTGTTTTTCTTTAAGATGGGATGCATAACTTTAGGCAGCCAGTGGCAAAATCGATTTAATTGCTGTATATTTAGTTTTCACATGGATGTTCATGTCTTTTATCATTCCACACTACTAATAATAAAGAATTTCACGTACACCACACTCCTGAGCAGTTTCAGCATCTTTGCACCAGTAGCTTGGTCCCCAGGTACAACGATTCTTTCCCAGCGGTTCCAGCTGCTTCGAGGCCACACACAGATCAGCTCTCTGCAGGACAGATGGAAAGAAACATCATGAGAACATGAACAACACCTAAAGAATGACAGCCGCTCATGAGTGGTGCCATCAAGTGGTTACTTGTGTGTCTGGGATTGATATTGCCCTGACTGGAATGATTCACATCGTAAATTTGCAGATCAGTGCACGTTTGTGAAGGTTTTAGTTGCTGAATTTCTGTGTCGCTGCAGGCCGTGGTAAAAATTTGAATTAGTGCTGATACAGGCTCTATGTTGCTATTCAGATGTAAACCCATTGACAATAACCTTTAGTTTATTCTTACTTCACATGCATGAGGATATCCCATCTGGTTTCCCAAGACCTTCTGCAGCCGTGAGCCGTAGATACTGGTGAAGGCTTCACACTGAAAAGAGAATCAACAGTATTATCGTGCTGTGACACTTTAAAGACTCGAGCGAAAGTCCAGACAAGAAGCTGAATGATCGCATAAAAAGGTTGGAGAAATTTACCAAAAGGCTCACTGGCTTCAAGTGTTTTAAAGTTCCATATAATTTGTAAAGAGTGTTGTTCTAAGAGTACCACTGTTAGCTGAGAGTCAGACCTTAGGGATGGCGGTAGGGTGGATGTCACACACAGACTCCAGGAAAGCATAAGTTTGAGCTTCAGTGGCGTTGAGGCCCTGGTGTAGTCGGCTCAGCGCAGCCAGTATGCGGCATGACTCACAGTCTGATGGGAGGAACACCTCTGGAGAATCAGCAACAGTAGACCATTAATTAGGTGAATGAGGAAGTGAGCCAGGTCCAGTCTATACATCAATAACGACAAACCTGGAACCGGCTGCTCATTGAACAGACAGAGGTGCAGAAGACTGCATATCGTGTGAGGTGCAGCAGAAGACAAAAGGAATTCGACAATCTCGACGCCATATTTATTGATGAAATCATCACACTGGTCCTTATAGTGCTTGGGTATAAGATCGCAGACCTCCCCCATGACCTTCTTTATAGCATCCTGCAGGGCAAGAAGGACAAGGCAGGGTTTACACGATGTGATGGATGGTACGGTTCTTTAAATGAACCAAAGTAAAGAAAAGATGACCTCAGTCATATTCTTGGGCAGCAGACTCTCCAGCTTCTTGATGATAAACAAACACAGGGTGCAAACTGGGTTGAGCTCGTCCTGGAGAGAGAATTAGCCGATAAGAGGCCCATTTCATAAAATTCACAAAGGTTTCACTTCACTTTTCAATTTATATTCGACTTCTGCTTTCTCATACTGACATCTGTCTTTGTTCCTGTGGCCAGTGCGCGGCTGGATGTATCTGTGCCAGCTGCACGGTGGGAGAGTTTCTGCACTTTCTCTTTCTCGTGAGGAGCACAAAGTCCAAAAGCTGCACAAAGCTCTCCTGGTTTCTACAAAAAAGCAAAAAAAAAGAAAAAAAGACAACAACCCCAAAACACAATATATCAAATATTTTACATCAAGTAAAAGGACTCTCAGAAGGCTTCAGTGTTTACTGTCTTCTTTCATAAAAAGAAGCCTCACTTGAGGTTAAACTCACCACGTGATCAGGGGTTTGATGCAGGATTTTGGGCAGGTAAGTCTTCACCTGTAAATCACACTCTGGCACCTGCTCTTCAGGGAGGCGGCGGCACAAAGCGTGCAAGCTTTCATATACGACTCCCTGCAAACGCATGGAGAGAAATATTACAAGGGTGTGGCGGCCACTTTATTTAATAAGCATTTCTTCAAGCCCAGTTCGTGTCGCGAGTAAAACAGTGAAGTGAAAGTCAAGTGAAACCGTTCTTTACCTTGGTATCGCTGCTGAAAATCATGTTGGCCGACAGCTGGATGATCTGGCTGCATTCTGGACAGATATCCAACGTCTGCTGAAGCCACAGTGACAAAATTGCTCAGTTTTCGCGCTTTCATGTTATGCAAACATACAGTTTTGTTTGGGTTTTTTTTTTCAATACATGTGCTCTTTTCGAGGCTTACCAGAGATTTCTGCTTTATGAATGACAAAGGGTCAGTAATAAACCTGGAGTCTCCTTCTGTGAAAAGAGAAAAGAAACAGAAAACAGAAGATTGCAGGTAATGGCTTCAGCATCGGTTAGCATATAGTTACAACACTACAAGGGGGTTATACGTTTTCAATAAACAGCAACAACAGCCTGGTGTAAGTTTACATTATATATTCTATACAGTATAACTGAATAATGAATAAATGTCGTCTGGTGGGGGGGGCGCAGTGATGCAGACATTAATGTGATTGTGAGTAAACGTCCATCTTACCGGGCCACAGAGACACCGCGAGGATCACGAGAACAAATCCAGATGCAGACATGGTTTAAGCAGCAGAGGACAACACAGATCGGATGATTTTGACTATAAAAACATCGGTGCAGCTGTTTGGGTTGCAGCGGAAGTACAGATCGATCGTCTTTACCCTATCAGAACGTCATGCGCAATGCGCAGGCGCCTATGGACTATTAAAGGCCATACGCTTCAAATTAAATCTCTAAACTTCCTTAGTTATCTATTGCAGTGATAAATACAGGCTAAGAGTGGATAAACGAACATTTTCCGAGCCTTGGAGGCGCATGTCTTTTAGGGGTGTCTGGTATAAAAACTTGACGCTCTTGACATAACATGAAAAGCAGAAGGGAACTGAGAGTCAAGGCTCCTTCGCCAAGAACGTGGCCACTTTTTGTAGTTTTATTTCAGGTTGTCTGGAACCTCCACTATAATTCACTCGGTTCTTCCTGTGCCCATGCGCCATGTCTCATCAGATTCAGTTAGTGTCAAACAACACGTATCACGTGCCTCTACCTTGGCTCATGAAGAAATCTAAAATGACCACCAGATGGCAGCAGAGCTGAGTAAATGTATCTGAGCTGAGGCCGGAGGGCGACAGAGCACTTTAAGAACTTATTCTGTTGAATAAATTATTGTAATAATCGTAATAATTACGATATGTCATAGACCCGAAAATACTGCCACAAAACGTAAGATTTAAGATTTATAAAATATATAAAAGCTTTATTTTTTATTTCACAACTATCGTTTTATTTTGTTTAGGGATTTCAAGCAAAGGCTGAGGGGAGGTGACCTAGGACTACAAATCTGTCCACACCAATATACTACTACTACTACTACTACTACTACTACTACTAATAATAATAACTTTATTTATTAAGGCTTTATGTATAAAGCACTTTCAAACAAAGTGCTGAACAGTTATTGAAGATAAAAAAAAAAAGATAAAAATAAATAAATACAAGCAATGCAGAAAAAACAATACAATTTAAAAAATGATAACAATTTAAAAACTAATGGGCATAAAACTAAGACACACACATATAAAATACACACCACACTTAAAAAGGGATCTATACAAAATAATTAGCCTCTTCTAGTTACCCTGCAAATAAGAACAATTCCTTATCATAATTGTGAATATTACATTATGAAACCTGCAAATGAAAAATAAAACAGTCAATTAGTTGTTTGGTTCTGGACCCTTTTAGAAGTCTGCCCGTGCAATGCTGACCACTCCACTGTTTGCTTATTCACCCATTGTGTTTTCAGCAACTTTGCAATGAAGATGGAGCCCTTCATGATTGTAGGGTTCAAAATATAGTAAAGCATAACTTACTAAACTAAACTTAATTATGTTTTCTGGGAGACTTATTGAAACAGGAAGTCATTTAAATAGAATTAGTCTGACAAAGTGAAGCAGGTTGAAAGATTTTAATAAGCAAGACCTGATGCCAGGATCTAAAGAAACACCTGAGAAATAAATTCAGTGACATCTATCAGTCTGCAAAGGGTTACAAAGCCATTTCTAAAGCTGTGGGATTCCAATTTTCATAAAAATTGAGGAAGACATACAGTGGGGCAAAAAAGTATATAGTCAGCCACCGATTGTGCAAGTTCCCCCACTTAAAATGATGACAGAGGTCAGTAATTTGCACCAAAAGAGCCAAGAATGTTCACAGTCTTCTGGTAAGAAGTCTGCTAAGCTACGCTGTCACCACGAATGTACTGTGTATGATGGTCTAACCTGTTGTGGAACTACATGATAAATACAAAAGACACCTGTCGATCTACAGACCCTCTAGAACCAAGTCAAATGAAATCAACAGAAGCTACTGCCGCCAGATGGCGTGCACAAGACAAAGTCTTGATACCGCGAGGAAACAGGAAAGAGTCAATGTAGAAATAGTACCCCAGACTGGGACACAGAGTGAAATCTGTACAATTTAGGCTGAAGCAGCTTTGGTGGAAAAAATCATCTGTGAGCAGCAAAGCACAATCATAGACAGAAGATGGAAGACATGAAACACGGGACCACTGGGAATATCTCGTCAGATGTCTGCGGGTCCCACGACAGCATCTCATACCGTGGGCGTACCAAACTGATTGCATGAAGAACGCGCTCAGCAAAGATCCCAGACCAACAACGGGGGACCTGGATGAAATGACTTTTTGCAGAGAAGCCTCGGGCACCCACGCAAAGTTACAAAAGAGTCCCACTCATGTAAACACTCTCACATTTACGGACAGTGGGATCCAAGTCCAAAGCTAGTGGCCCAGACCGGTGATTCCGCTGTGTCTGAACCTGGCCTAGGTGCAGTGGTTCCAGGCCCGTGTGAAGTTATGTGCCGGAACGGGCACTGATGGCATGATACTATGATAAGCGAAGCGGATTAGGAGAGTCAGGTACCCTTGGTACAAGAGTGAGAAAAACTGCGTAGAAGACCTAAATTAATTGGCTATAGAACTTGATCGACTCCCATAAGTGTTAGTGGAGGGAAAGCATCGAAGTACTGAGTTTGTGCTAAGCTAACTAGTGAATGTCGATCTAGGGGAGGAACATTCATACTATGGTGCGCGTCTCCGTTCATTTTTCCTCCAAGGTAGGAGACAGGAAACGACTTGGGATTGCAGTGTTATGGTCAGACGAAGTGGAGGGCAATGCTCTCTAGCATGGTTGAGAAATTTTCATGGAGACCAAAAGAAGTTTCACTCCTGCCCTTCAAGGTGAGAACGTTGTTGAAAGATGGGAACATGAGTGCTTTAGGCTTCGGGTCTTCTATCCATACATGAACATTGATCCAAGACACAGCCTAGTCAGCAGCCTTCACACAGAGCTGCAGGCACGGACTGTCGCTACAGATAGCAGCAATAGGAGTGGCTTTGCCCGTAAAGAGAAGTCGATTTGAAAGTCTGGAGGTGACAGATCTCTCAGTATTTTCTAAATTGTCCCATTCATGAAATACGCTTGATCAGGCAGGGACCGTATTGCTACTGGCTAAGAGATCACGTCGACCACGTGTGTATTGTGCCTACAGGCAGTGTAGCGTCTCGTCCACCAGCCTACGTGTTTCGCTCGGGCAGCTCTATCTACAAAAGATAAGGAATACTATGCCGGTCGCTTCGAAACGCATGTCGATACTCTAAAAGGGTCATACACATTGCGGAGACAGATTCTGGTTGGCATGGAGGAATGGGCCTAAATATCCGAGCTATGCTGTTGTGTTGTGCAAACCAGTGTGTAGAAAGGAACCTAAGTAACACAGTGGTTTGACGCTCTGTTATGTGGCCCAGCTCCGACAAAAGGGTATAGTGTTTACGATGCAGTATAGTAAATAGAGGTTGCTATTGTTCAATTAGTCTATTGACTAAAGCGGATAGGATTTTCTTCACTACCCTATGGATTTGACGGAATAAAAGTTCTTACTTTCATGCCTCAGAGTTGGATTCAGGATTTTTTTTTTTTCTTAACAACCCATATCTTGTTTCTCCAGCAGTATTGAGTGTACCCTCTGGTGCCACAATAGAACGCGACCTATCTGTCAAATCATTTTAGGTGGGTGGGGAGCTCTGCCAATTTTGGGCGTGCTAATCATATCTACGCCTGTTACTATTTGTCCCCCACACTTGCTAACACTTGGGCACATATGTACTTTAGGTTTATTTTAAATTTACAGTAGTGGAATAATGAATAAATGGTTTTGTTTAGTATCAAAAGGTCCTTTCATATAAATATTTCAATCAGAATTCGCCAACACAACTAAACAAAGTGGACACGTGATGAAGAAAAGAAACACACCAGTTTGTGTCACAGCGGTGTTGGCAAAGCGAACATGTGGATAATAGTCGTATATTTGGCTTTTGAGTATAGATATAATTAGATGCATTGTTTTTATTGTATCACTCAAGAACAGCGAGCACCCCATGCTATGCTCTCTTGCCCAAAGTGGTACATTTAGCAACAGAAATGGTATCTTTCTCTTACTATTATTTTTTGGCCTGGTCCAGTTTGGCTCTTATTGCCAATACAAGTGAACTTTGTTATATACGTGCAAGATGAACAGGTCATGCCCAATCCCTCCGGATTATCTAGATCTTTTTGACCAAGCAACGTCCTGATGTTAATCATTGTTGTTCTCTCCACCGACGCTTGCCGAGTATACGAAGGAGCTAGGTCGCATCATTTTGCACTTTTGCAATCCTTCTTTGGTGGTAATTGAGATGTATTTTATTTATTCAACATTATAGAGAATATCTAGAGGAGACTCAGGACTATTACTAGAGAGAGGAAAGTTAAGTTGCTGGACTGATGATCGATGGCAAAAGAAGAAGCGGGACCGTTACTGGGTCGCAGGATAGTAACGGTGATAAGATAGAAGACCTATAAAGTGTCAACTAGAATCCCCGTCGGTCTTCGTGCCTCGCACCCAGCACGAAAAAGCAAAATGGCCAATCTTATATGTTCTCAAATTCTTCTGGCTTGGTCTAACATTTCATGCTTGAGTGTAAACGAAGCGAAACAAAAGGAAGGACAAACGCCAAATCCGATGCTAAGAGAACAAACAGATAATTACTGAGATTGGAAAGATAGAACATCAACACAGAAATGAGAAGATAAGAGGTGAGAAGTGTAATAATCGAAATCAGTAAGATACCTTTCATAAATGTTATCATGTCCCCTAATGTTAGTTTGTGCAAGAAACAATAAGAATAAAAACAGGAACAAAAATGTGCCTTATGAGGTAGGAGTAAGCAGAACACAGTGTGCTTTGAGGTAGGAGCCAAAAAGGGTGTAGTTTGTGGGTGTGATCACCCGTGTGTACACCTGTGAGCATGGACGCGCTTGTTTTTTGTTTTTTTAAAAGGTTCCTTCATGTAATAATCTGCTAGAGGGTGTGGGGGGGCCACAGCCCCGTCCTCCAGGGCATGAAGCAGGTGTGGAGGAGATCAAAACTCCAGACATCCAGAGGCCCCCAGAACACAAGAGACCAAGGAAGACCAACAGAGGGGCACGCTGCGCCACTGTCCCGGAAAGAGCTGAGGAGAGTCCCAGATGAGGGCTCACTCAGCAGCCGCGGAGCAGAAGCCAGGGGGAGTTGCAGTGACGCGCCCGTGAGCTCCGCCGGCAGCCAGCTGCGCCTGAGTGACCGAGCCCCAGGC